TATTTTCTTTCCCTAGAATTATATATAATATGTAGATTTACGTGAATTGGGTTGAGTTATTTTCGAGAGAAAATTGCATGTAATTAGATTTAAAAATGTTTTTATAGCTTTATGAATACAAATTCAAATTAGTATGCTTTTGATTGAATATATATTTAAAATGTTTTCATTATAAGCCGAGTGCTCGACAAAGGAATAAGTTAGAATAAAATAATTTTGCATTTTTGTCTCTAATGAAAATAATTTTATTTTTATTACTCAACTTTCAAATAAATATTCGACATTCGACTAGAACGTTGGTAAAAGTGGAAAATCGGCTAACTGGATTTGGTATCCTAATTAAATAATAGCGTTGAAAATATTTTGGTCCTCCTTTATTTGAATACGGACGAATTTGACCTTATAGAATTTTTACTGGCAAATATGTTCGATTGTAAAAAGTTCAGCCAATAAATGGCTTCAATTTCATTGGCAAGTTATATTTAATTGAGAAAGAAAGGTGAGAAAATCGGTTATAGATCCCAAAATTACAGTATGCAATTTTGGTAATGTAAAAATATAATCCCCAATTTCTTCTACGAAATTAAGAAATATATCCCCACCTTCCCAAAGTAAAAAAAAAAATGGGACAGCTAAAATAATTATTACACCTGCTAAGGATCGAACCTGGATCTGAAGAGTATATACTTCTCTGCGCCTTTATTAATTACACCACCGGTACACATTGCTACGACATTGAAATTTCTAAATTTGAAGTTATCCGATTCCCACATACACATTTCGTGATTGCGTAGGGGGAACTGGGAATTATATTTTCACATTTTCAAAATTTCATACTTTAGTTTTCAGATATATAACCAATTTTCTCACCTTTCTTTCTCATTTCACGTTTACAGCGGTTCGTATATAAAAAAACACTGGCAAACGAAAGAAGGATCTTATTCTGATTCTAGTACAAGCTAAGCTTGACGTCCTTTAACGATGTTGCAACGGTGGGTTTAAAAAGAATTGCGAGAGCTTGGTTTTACTGACAAGAGTCGAAATCTTGCATGGCTTGAATTTACAAAGGACTCCTAACCAATACTTAAGGGGGGAGAAAAATTTTTAAACTTTTTTTGCATTTGTTTTATATTTGATTTTGTGAATGGAAACCCTTTCAAGAATATTGTGTGAAAATTTGAGATCAATGGGAGCAAAACTAACGAAGATACAGCGGTTTAAGTAACTGCGCCTTAAACATGACTCATCAGAAAATACCTGCCAGGCCCGAGCACGCTATTGTTACCTGGCAGCGAGGACGACTCCAGAAGAAGGGGCTATGGGGGCCATGGCCCCCACCAAGATGAAAATTCTTACGATTTATGAGCCATTTATTCAAAAAAATATGCTAAAAAAAGAATGGCTAAAGGCAATGGCCCCTACCGAAAATTCGTCTCGGTGTCGCCTTTGCCTGGCAACTGTTTCGCTCACTATATGATCCCTTACCTTACCTCCTACCTTGTTTTATAGAAATTTAAACACAAGTACAAACGTGTTTATATCTGTACTGTATATAATTTAGTATAGCATTGGCCTGGCATGTTCTTTTGCTTTACTAACCTACATGCAAGACATAGGAATCAGTAGTGGATCAAGCACTCATGAATGAGGATTCACCGTAGACAGGAGCAAAAAGATGCTTTAGACATCATGAATGATAACAACATCCTTTATGGACCTGGCATCGATGATTCAGTGTGAGATAAGCCGATAAAACTCGCTTATGAACGTTTTATTCCAAATTTTTTAGTGTTCAAAACTATAAAGCGTTTTTCCCACAACTCATGTTTCCAAGTCGGTGCCTTTCATACCTTCAAAACTACTGCACCTATTCTTTTGAAATTTTGAACAGTATTTCTGTACATAATTTACGAGGTATCGTTGTTTTTAGAAAAAATGCTTTAATAACAAGTGCTCTGCTGGATTCGTTCGAAGCTTACAAAGCACCCTGTATTTTTTACAAAATTAATTTTTTTTTTTTTCGAAATGTTTTATAGTATTTCAAGAGCTTAAAAATAACTTTTAAATATGGAAAAAATAAAAAAATTCATATACTGATGTGCTCTGCCGATTTCGTTCCAACAAAGCACTCTGTAATATTTAAAAATAACAATTTTTAAAAATAAGATAATAGTTCAAGAGTCTTTACAATAGCTTTAAAATTTGGTGAGGTTGTTTTAAAAAAACTTTGAAAAACCAAGGTGTTCTGCTGAATTCTTTCGAAGCTAGCAAAGCTAAAACTAATTTTTTTTGGAAAAGTTTTATAGAATTTCAAGGGCTTAAAAATATCTTAAAAATGTGGCATAAGCAGATATTTTTAGAAAAAAAAATTAATAACCCAATATGCTCTGCTGATTTTGTTCCAACAAAGCACCTTGTATTGTTTAAAAATAGCAATTTTTTAGAAAGATTTATAATATTTCAAGGGCTTAAAAGTAGCTTAAAAATGTGGTGTCGTTGTTTTTAGAAAAAGCTTCAAAAAACAGAGGTGCTTTGCTGGATTTATTCGAAGCTAGCAAAGCACCGTACCGTGTATTTTTTACAAAATACCATTTTTTTTTTTTTTTTAAAAGTTTTAGAATATTTAAAGAACCTAAAAATAGCTTAAAAATATAGCATAAATAATTGTTTTCAGAAAAACAATGAATCGATGTGCCCTGCTGATTTTTTTCAACAAAGCACTCTGTATTATTTTTTGAAAACTGGTGTTTCCATTCACCCCTTTCTAGTGGCAGTATATGCTACACTAGGGTTACTTTCATCCGGTTCTAGAGCCGTCCACTCATCATATACATCTTTGCCTTTAAAAACTATTAAAGGCACTGCCTTTTGGCCTGCAGCGCTGGCAGCACATTGAACGGTTGTATTTTCCCTACCTGTGCCACTGGTGATTCGGGTAGAGGACACTCCAATTGCTCCCACTACTTTGGTTTCTGAGGGATCTGTACAAAAACTCGTTTCGTCTAGGTTCCATATCTGCTCTGATTTATCCATAATCACCCATTCTAAAAGAATGCCTTTAAGAATTTCAAAGTAGGTAATCATAGGTAATGAATGGGTCCATACATCTTCGACGGGAAATTTCGACACCTTGTGCTTTTTTTAGAGAAAGATGATATCTCTGTTTAAATGCAATAAACCAGTCCGGTCCTGGAATTCCATTTTTAAATCCTGTTTTCAAACCATTTCGTTTTAACGTATTCCCCAATACCTTCAATCACTTCTGAACGAGATAGTCCGAATGGCTATTTCTCCATGACTCTTAAACACTGCTATGTTCTCTTCATTTTCAAAACTTATATCTGTATATCTTCCTAAACTTTTACTCTTTACTCCTCTTCTTCCTACCAAATGATCAGTCAATGTCGATCTTGGAATTTGATAGACAATACTGGCTCTTTTTATAATAATTGTCTTACATTGAATATGTTTAAACGCAGTTATTAAATTTTCTTTGGTATAAGTAGTGGCCCTTTTTGATTTTCTTTTATATTTTCTCACCATTTTTAAATTTTTGAAACCTTAAATATAAAATGTTCATTTTCATGAAGTTGTTCGCTACAAACGGGTGCGTATTGTAAGTAAAAAATTTGGGATAAGTGTGACACCATCTTTAACTTTTAGAAAATAAAATAATAAATATATTATTCATGCTGCACAGTATCCAAACAATTTATATAAACAACTGACAAAATATTAATATTTATCTCAAACAATAAAAAGAGAAAACTAATTTGAAAAATTCCTTACCAACTAGCTCAACGAGATCTCATAAACAGGTTATGTTCTGGTACTCACTGACAGTAGACCTTGAGCGGCGGTGTTGCCATTTAACTAAGGTGGCTTCAGTGAACTACAATTTACAATTTTTGACAAAAATGGCGTACCTATGTCTAACAGGAATAATTATTTAACGTGGTGATACTCTTACCCCGAAAACGATCTTACCCCAACTTATCTTAGTTGTTTTCAGATAAACAATGAACCGAGGTACCCTGCTGACTTTTTTCAACAAAGCACCCTGAATTATTTAAAAATACCAGTTTTTTAGTAAAGTTTTATAATATTTCAATAGCTTAAAAATAACCTAAAAATGTGAGGTTATTTTAAGAAAAAAGCTTTAGAAACCAAGGTGCTCTGCTGGATTTGTTCGAAGCTAGCAAAGCACCCTTAATTTTTGTAATCAGGCTATTTTTTTCAAAAAGTTTTATAATATTTCAAGAGCCTAAAAATGTGGCATAAGTAATTGTTTTCAGGGAAAAAAAAATAGTTAAAACGAGATGTTCTGCTCACTTGTTCCAATAAAAACACCCTGCATTATTTAAATAGCATTTTGTTAGCAAATTTTATAATATTTCAAAAGACTAAAAATAATCTAAAAATTTGGTGTGGTTGTTTAAAAAAAAACCGAGGTGATCTGGGGTATTCGTTCGAAGCTAGAAAGCTCCCTGTATTTTTTAAAAATAACAATTTTTTTGAAAAGTTTTATAGCTTTTCAAGAGCCTATGGCGTCGTTGTTTCTAGAAAAAAATTAAAAAAACTGAGTTGCTCTGCTGAATTCGTTCGAAGATAGTAAAGCACCTTGATTTTTGCCAAAAACGAGGAGCATAAAATTTTTGAATAGGTTATAAAAATAGCCTTAAAATAGCCTAAAAATATCTTGAACATCTTTCGGTTTTTAATTTTGTAACTCGTACATTTTATACACGTCATTAATTTTTCTAAGAAATAAAAAATGCTGCCTTGAACACAATAAACGCCAAAATATTCGAATTTACAAGTTTTGACAGCTCTTTGATATTGGCTTCTAAGCTTTTTTGTCATCTCTATATTTAACCTCCATGTTGTAACCACCATGACATTATATGCCTTATAACATCACATTCAAATTAGATGCACACCACACACTGCGTATATAATTAATTATGATTTTTATTATACAAATTTTGTTTCTCTTTCAGATGTATGGAAACATGACATTCAACACTGTTTGGACACCAAAGTCAATTGAGTAGATAACAACGAAGAATACCAACATTTGTATTTTTATAAATTAGAAGTGAAATTTAAAAATAAGCTCAAAATGTTAACGTGCTGTGTGAAATACCTACTATGTGCCTTCAATTTCGTGATATTCCTATCAGGGACAGTCATTTTAGGAGTAGGACTATGGCTGAAAATCGACAAAACCTCCTTTATAGGACTCTTAAAAATAGTTCCGTACGATCAAGTTCAAGATTTCACCAAACCCGGAGTGATAGAGCATTTATCCTATATCCTAATGGCTATAGGAGCAATTATGTTTATTGTATCGTTTCTGGGATATTGCGGAGCGATGAGAGAATCTCAGTGTATGCTGACAACTTACGGACTTCTACTTCTCATTATTCTGATATTAGAAATCACAGCCGGTTGTCTGGCTATTATCTACAAAGGAACAGCAGAAACTGAAGTCAAGAATGTATTAAAGACATCCTTAACTAAATATTACTCGCTTTCTGAGAATGGCAGCGCTGTCAACCTAGCTTGGGATAACCTACAAATATCTTTGAAGTGTTGTGGTGTTGACGACTACAAAGACTATCAAGAAAACGAGAAATGGGCCAACGGAGATAAAGCTGTGCCGGATTCGTGCTGCGTTTTAGATGAAAATAAAAAACCATTAGTTTCGACTTGTTCTTATTCTCCGACCGAAACCAACTCTTATCATCTGAAAGGATGCTATAAAGAAGTTGTTAATTGGATCATGAGTAATTTGGACATGGTTATTATTGTACTGGTAGTTTTTGGCGTCGTTGAAATACTCGGTGTCTTGTTATCTTTCTGTTTGGTTAGTTTTATTAACAAAAGCAATAGGTTCAATTATTAGCGGTTTTGTTTTTAAGTGAAGCGGTTCTAAACCGCTCTATGAACTTTCGTTTAAATTTTGAAAACCAAAGAATTTTAACTGGAAATGTATTTTTCGAGAGACTTATTGACAATAGATTTTAATGGACCCAAATAAGATTGATTTTGAAAAAATTAGGAATTCATATTTTTCAACATAAGATAGATACTCAATTGTACAAAAACAAAAACATTTTTTTACTATAGAATAATAGATTTTTGCTTACTCTTTTAATACAAACACGCTTTAGACATTTTGATATGATGGTGTTTTATAGCTATTAAGTATGTATATTTTTATTTTGTATAAACATGTGTACATATTGTAGCACATAAATGTGAATTTGTTTAAGAATAAATGTATGTTAATTATTATTAATAAAGTTTGTTTACTTTAGATTTCACTTCTTTAAATTCTAGTAGTAAATTTACTTTCGAAGTTGCGTATAACAAATAAAGTGGTGAACGGAAAATTGATCGAAAGTCAAAAAAATGGAAAGTGAGAAAAGATCGAAACCAAATATCGAAATTGAAACAAATGATCGAAATCACATATGTTTGAGAGATTATGGCTCCAGGTCACTATTTTTTTTATTAATTAGATTACTAGAAAAATATTCCTCATTTCTTTAATACATATAACATTTAAATTCAACCATCTAAGTTCATGTGTAGGGTCAGAGTACCCTACTGTGTTAATACCATCACTGGTACTTCAGCTTCTCAGTTCATGTCTGTTTAGTACAGGATACGAAGTGGGGTCGACCTTCACCAATCTGTTTAAGGTTTCTTATACGAGCCAATTTCTAACCTAAGGATCGTATATTCGATTCTTTAATCAAAACTAGACTTCCTATAAAAGGGGATTGTTGAGAAGTTGTCCATTTACTACTTTCTTGAAGTGAGTGTAAATATTCTACAAGCCAACGTTTCCAAAACTGTTGTACACTGCTTTGTACCAATTGACACCTTGTGAAGCGATTAATGGGAACATCAATAACATCCTCACGAGGAATACTTCTAGCAGGTCCAAAAGTCAGAAAGTAGCTGGGACTTAACGATAAAAGATCGTTTGGATCATCACTAACACTACACAAAGGACTTGGATTAAGAATGTTCTCGATTTGAACAAAAAGGGTATTAAATTCTTTCACAGTTAGTATTTGTTTACCAATAACTCGTTTTAAATGAGTTTTTATCGATTTAACCCTAGCTTCCCACAATCCTACAAAATAGGGATTGGTAGGAGGGTTGAAGTGCCACGTTAAGGATAATTTTTCTTCACAAAGTTTGGTAGCATATTCCATGCCCCTACAAAGTTTGTGCCATTATCACTATAAATATTTGTACATTGACCTCACCTACCTACAAATCTGTGTAATGCACCCAAAAATGCCTTTGAGGTCAAATCACTAACCAATTCCAAATGGACGGCCTTAGTAGCACAGCAAACGAATAAACATATATAGTCCTTACGGGCACCTCCCCAGACAACACACCAAATCCCAGAGATATCCACAGAACATCTTTTGTGGATATCCAATATATCCACAGGATATCAGAAATATTCTGCGGATCTAATATGGATATCCAAATGTCCGTCTATATCCAGAATATAGAAGATATCCTAATGGATATTCAGCAAAATATCTAATAGGTATCTTCCAGAAAATACAAGAAATCCCAGAGATATCCACAGAATATATTTTGTGGATATTCAATATATCCAATATGGATATCCAACCAAATGTCCGTCTATATCCCAGGATATAGAAGATATTCAGCAAAATATTTTATGGGTATCTTTAGTAGAGGTTCATAAGTAACCAATGATTATTGAATAACGTCGAAAGAAAATAGCAGAGATAAAAAATATTTTCAAACTCAAAATATTTTCAACACTCTGCCTTCGATTTTGCCCACTAAGGAGAAAGTCATCCTTATTAGGACTCTTCAGCAATAAATGAAAATTCTCGACTCCAATCTCTAATGGAGTGATTAGGACACAAATTTCGATCGAACTCAATTACGGCGGGTCGAGCATGAGTAGATGCGATAGTGGTATCGCCATCTATACTAAGTAACCACAATCAAATACCATCTAGTGGATATCCATGATGGTTTGCGTTCGCGCCTAGACTTTGATATATTTAGTGGATGTTCATGGGATATTGAATACACCTTAAAAAAATTAATTTTAAATATCTGAACGGTACTATTAGCCACAATGGCGAGCACAATGGCGTAATTTTTTAATAATTTGCTATATAATTACTATTATTTATGGAAATTTGCATGTCTATAAATTACATTTCATGGATATAAAATAGATATCTACCATGGACTGGACATTCAGTGGATATTGGGATGTTCAGTAGATATCCAAAGGATTTGGTGTGCTGTCTGGGTCTATATTAGAGATTAGATTAGCAAATGGTCCAGCAAAATCGACACATCGAAGAACAGCCTTAACTATGGATACAGTCAGAAATAGAGGTAAATTTCTGATCATCGGTTAAAGAGGCACTGAATTTACTTTAAAACACAAATTAACCTTGAAACAACACTACGTGGTAATTTTGGTTGGTAATTTAATTCATGAATTTAATTTTGATGTCTTTGTCTCGAACACGTTAGACTGGACAGTTTTGACAATTATTAAACCTGCTTTATAAAGTACTTGTTGATTAATGACACCCATTATCAAATTTCTTTTGACACTTTTAAATTGTAAAAACGACGGCAAAACGAATTTTCCTCCACGATAAAAATTGCTGTAAAAGATTGTCGATCCGAGTAGGTTGTTAATTAATTCACTTGGAAATGCAACACAATCAGCAGGATTCTGCTTACCATTCGCATAAGACCAATCAACAGTCAAGTGAGATCCACTCCTGGGGGCCTATTCTCCAGTTAAGAGAATGATCATTTCATGCGAACTGGACAGCCGTTCTATTAAAAAATGTGTGAATGGTATTCTTGAATTGAAGTGCATGATCACTTCGCATGAAAATCGAGAGAACATACTTCTCTTAGTCAAAACCAGTAGAAGAGCATCATTTCGGGAGAACTGTCATTGTCGTGCGCTATCAAAACGTCACTATTTTTAATTAAAATGGATTTGGACGAAGGTCTTATTTATATTCATACTATGAATGATCTAGCTGAAGCGGAAGAAGATGCCAATCGACCAAATAGAATTTTTTTTTTTTTTTTTAAAGAGGATCCTTTTGACTTTAGTGACCAAATATTCATAAAAAATGTTCGTCTAAGTAAACCTTTGGCACGAGATTTATTAGAAAATAATGGAAAATATAATCTGTTATTACAATTGTCAAAAAATAATAAAAAATTGAAGTAAAGTGCCTTCTAAAATAGTTCTAACGCACAACTTAAATTTGGCAGCGGTGCTCCCTGAACCTATGAGATGTGAATGATTCAAGAATACCGAATACAATGACCGAGAGAACAAATTGGTGATAGGACACTTCACATCCCACAGTGGAATGTCCACATCGTTCAACTTGGAGAATAGGGCCCCTGAACGGTTTCTACTTGTGAGGAGATGACTTTATCCATGATAATGTTACTTAAGAGTCAGACCAACAATAAATTTTATATATATTAATAACCTTTAATATACCACATGCCTTTTCACTCCAAGAGAACACCTGCACATAATTCCAATCTGGGAATAAAGACCGTTTTTAGAGGAAGGACATACTTTTTTGACACATAATAATGTCACATTCACTTGCTCATCATCGGTAATTTGACGTAAATAGATAACTGCACCATTACCCTACTTGCGATGCGTCACCAAACCCATGTAGCTATAAGTGTATCACATTATCCATTGTGAGTTTCCTATGAATTTGATAACATGGCAACAGTTCAAGTTCTTTCTTAAATGCATCCCATCTATCTGCCGACTACAATTGATCCCACTAAAGTCCTAATGTCCAAGTAATTTGAAATATATACTTTGCAAATAATGTTAATGGAGCTAACAATCCAAAAGGATCATATATCCTTGCTATTTGAAATAAAATATTACTTTTAGAATTAAGGGAGGAACCAAGTTCAACCTTATAGGAGAAAACATGGCATTGTTGTTGTTGCTAAGTAACAGAGAACAAAATATTTGGATGACTACTGCTACATTTTCTGAGTTCAAAACCACCTTCATGCAACAAGTGCACTAATTCTTGAATTATGGTTAGAGCTTCATCCTCGGAATCGGCTCCACTTACCACGTCATCAACATAAACAGACGATTGTAGCACCTTAGCCGCCAATGGGAATTCTAGATCTTCAGCTAATTAAATTGCTAAATACGGACTAGAATTAACTCCATAAGTCACAGTATTCAGAATATACTCTGCTATATCTTCTGATCTATTAAAGCTCTACAAAATTCGTTGGAATTCCCTATGTGTCTCTGAGACTAAAATTTATACGTCTGGCGTACATCAGTTATAAAAACCACTTTATGAATTCTAAATAAAAACAGAATAGTAAAAATATCCTTCTAAAGAGACGGATCTATTAACAATGTATCATTCAGTGATACAACACTAGAAGTCTTTGCTGAAGCATCAAAAACCACAAGAATCTTAGATAAAAGGCTTTGTGGCCTCAATACACAATGATGGGGAATGTAATACTTTCCTTGTTCCACTTGATCGTTGGAAACTCTAGACATATGCTCCTATTCTAAATAATTAACATTGCTGGTTTTTTGTATAATCTGGATTAAAAGTTACGAAATCCGCGTAAGGCTTGCTGATAAGAGTCCCATAAATGATCTGCATTTTCTTTAAATGGCAGGTCCACTACATATCTACTTTCTTGAGTTCGAATCGTTGAATCAACAAATTTTCTTTCACAAAATTGATTATCTGGAGTATTACACAGTGAAATTTCTTCTAGCTCCCAAAATCTCTTTAGAGTTTCAACTATAGACGGTTCCAGTGTTGTACACAAACTTTTAACTGAACTTTTATTATCATTAGCTCCAAATATTAGAGCACCACCCTTTTGAACAGAAAGTTTTTTTACTTAACATCTTGTAATAAAGTTTCCCTGGCTACACGTATCCTGAGCTGCA